TATATAAGTGTTATATTAAGTTTAACAGGAGAACTAAATTTATTTCCAGTTGAGTCTGGTGACTGCAGAGAGTTGTGGAGTTTCCATCATCTGTCTGCTTTTCATAGTCTGTCATAGTCATTAGCATACGGCACATATCAATGCTTATATTCACCACAAGATTTCATTCTGAGTTGGTAAAATATCTCAGGAAAGCAGAGACTTTAAATTGTATGTGTACTTTAACAATAGCCTACTGCTAGAAACTTTTCCAAAGAAGTAATGCTAAGTCTGTGAAAGCATTTAATAAGGATGTTCATTGATATATTAAGTATGTTAACTAGTGCCCCAGAGAAACCTAAATGATTAAAACAAGGACACAATAGTGTAGCTATATAAAACACATCAGTTCTTTTTTTAAAAAAAAGATTGGTTTTCAGTTACATTTATCTGTATGTGGGTGTGTGCACATGAGTCTAGGTGCCTGCAATGCCCAGAGGTGTTGGATTCCCTGGACTTGGGAGTTACAGGGTCATGCGTACTGAGAGCCAAACTCTGGTTCTCTGCAAAAGCACTACATGCTCTTAACCACTGGGCCACCTCTCCAGCCCTCAAATCAGTCCTTAATGTGTCCCCTTCAAGGGTAATGTTGTGAACTGCGCATGGTGGTGCACTCCTGATATCCCAGAATTTTGGAGGCTTAAGATTTGGTAGCTAGCCTCAGCTATATAGCAAGTTCATAACCCAGCCTGAGCTACATCTTCAGACCCCTCCTCCTACCTCAAAAAGCCAAGGGGCTGGGTAGGGCTGGCAAGATAGTTCAGGAGGTAAAGGCACTTACTATGCAGACCTGATGACCTGAGTTCAATTCCCAGAACCCACATAAAGGTTAAAGGAGAGAACTGACTCCATGAAGTTGTCCTGTGACCTACACATACACATTGTAGCATGAACACATGCCCCACAGACACACCTCATACATACGAAGAAATAATTATTTTAGAAAAAAATAAGGGCTGGCTGGGCATGGTGATCCATGCCTTTAATCTAAACACTCAGGAGGTAGAGGCAGGTAGGTATAGATCTTTGTCAGATCGAGACCAGACTGGTTTACGTAGCAAGCTCCAGGCCACTTGGGGCAAAAACAAAACAAAGAATAACAACAAAACAAGGACTGGGGATGTTGCTCAGGGGTAGAGTGCTTGCTAGCATGCATATGACCCTAAATTTGACCCTCACACCCCTTAATAAAGGAAATAAGGGGCTGGAGAGATGGTTCAGTGGTTAAGAACATTGGTTGTTCTTGCAGAAGACCTGGGTTTGAATTCCAGTACCCACATGGCAGCTAACAACTGTCTGTAACTCTAGTTCCAAGGGATCTGATGGCCTCTTCTGTCCTCCGCAGTCATTGCATGACACAGGTGCACTTACCTATATGCAGGTAATACACACATACATATAAAATGAAAATAATAAATAAAATATTTTTTAAAAAAGAAAGAAAAGGGAAGGGAAAATATTCTTTTGGTGGGGGGCTTTTTGAAACAGGGCCTCCCAGTAGCCTCAGCTGGCCTGGAACTCACTATGTAGACCAGGCTGGCC